TGGGGACGAGCAGAGGCCTCCAGGGAGCCCGGCTCACGGACCTGGGCCCACGCCCACCTTCATGTACTGCAGCATCCGCTCCACCGCCGTGAAGTAGGCCTCCGTCTCCGAGCCCACGCGCGCCGTGGCCTGGAAGTTGGATGCCAGCTGGAAGGGAGGAGACCGGCAGTCGGGCGACCCGCCGCTGGAGCAGAAACGCTCCAAGCTCTCACTTCTTCTCGCAGCGGGTCCGGGAGGGCTGGCGTTCATCTGGCGTGGATTCCGCGTGTCTAACATGCACTGACCCCCACGTTCACACACGCGCCTCCCACGTCCACGCTCCATTGCCTCCCGGTACAGACACAGCCCTGGCACAGGCGGTCACGGACCAGCCCAGAGTCACACCGCCCGTGTGGCAGAGCCCGGCAGCTCACGCATCCTGACCACACGTTCTTTCTTATTTTTTCAGTTATTTTATTGATGTCAGAGAGGAAGGGAGAGGGAGAGACAGAAACATCAATGATGAGAGAGAATCACCCACCAGCTGCTCCTTGCTGGGAATCAAGCCTGCAACCTGGGCCTGTGCCCTGACCAGAGAGTCGAACCCTGACCTCCTAGTCCAGTGATGGCGAACCTTCTGAGCTCGGCGTGTCAGCATTTTGAAAAACCCTAACTTAACTCTGGTGCCGTGTCACATAGAGAATTTTTTGATATTGGCAACCATAGTAAAACAAAGACATATTTTTGATATTTATTTTATATATTTAAATGCCATTTAACAAAGAAAAATCAACCAGAAAAATGGGTTCGCGTGTCACCTCTGACACGCGTGTCATAGGTTCGCCATCACTGTCCTAGGTCAGTGCTCAACCACTGAACTACACTGGCCAGGCCCGACCACACATTCCTAACCACTGCTGTGCCCCACGGGGCGTGGCAGGGACACAGTGGAGCACAGCCCAGCAAGCGCCTGGCTCAGCACCAGCCCAGGCCCAGCTCCCAGTGCATCCCTCGGTGGTCGCACCGGCCCAGGCCCAGCTCCCAGTGAATCCCTCTGTGGTCGCACCGGCCCGCCGAGTGGGAGCACACACAGCCATCCACGTGGCCCGCACATGGGACCGGTTCTGCACACGGGCCGGATGAGGGTGCGTGCCCGCTGCGGGGCTCACTGAGGAGCCCACGGGGCCCTCTGCTTACCCAGAGGAGGGTCAGCCTTGGGCGCACAGCTCTGAACCAGCGAGAGACAAAGCCACGCGAGCACAGAGGACGGTCCATGAGCCCCGGGGAGGGGCGCCTGGGCCAGCAGCCAGCGTTCCTTCGAGTCAGCCTCCCGCAGTTGTCTGTGGCCGTGAGCCTGACCAGCCGTCCCTTCCCCCCGAGCCCGGGAGGGACGCTGACAGCACATCAGGACCCCCTGGACACCCCAATTCAAGCTAGATTCCCAGACCCCGTGCTCTGGAGCGGTCAGCGGGCTGAGGAAGCCTGCAGGAGCGGGGACCCCTCCCTCTCCAACCACCGCCCCACATCACTCGGGAGAGAGACAGCTGGGTCAGCGTACAACACCAGCCAGGCCACCGAGAGGCCAGCGTCCTTGGCCTGGCTCTGCTTCTAACGCTCTGTCCATTCGAACAACCCTCCTCCTCTCTGGGCCTCAGTTTCCCTACCCGCACGTAGAGGCTGGACCCTGCTGTCCACTCGCCTTCCATTCCTACGTCCTCGGGTGGTCTTTCATGCAGGCGTCCCGCTCAGAGGGGCCAAGGAAGCCAAGCAGCGGATCCAGAAGGCCCAGCACGTGGCTCACGTCACGTGGTCTCCCATGGCCAAGTCCCAGGCGAACCACCGTCCTGCCCGCGCTCACCACACCGAGCCCGCTGTCCCGCGCCCGCCCCCCTGCCCTCACCTGCAGGATGAGGCTGATGGTCAAGGCTTGGAAGGAGTGGGAGGCCGAGGACATCCCGAGGGCCACAAACAAGGCCACGGCCAGGGTCACCAGGTTGGCCATGAGCTCCATCCGCAGCGACACCCAGCGTGTGGAGAACAGGAACATCAGCTGGTAGTTATTCTGCATGTCGTTCAGCCTGTTAAACCTCGAGGGAAGGGACACGCGGAGCCACCGTGTTGGTCTGTCCGAGGGCTTCCCCAGGTCACCCCTCGGCCGCCGCTCCCACCCACCCACACAGCCTGACTTCCCTTTCTTTGTCGCCTCTCCTCACCCACGGGTATTGTTTTCATTGCTTTTCAAAGAGGAGGAGGGGGGGGGAGGAACAGCAATGTGAGAGAGACACATGGATTGGTTGCCTCCTGCGGGCACCCCGATCAGGGCCGGGATCAAACCTGCAACCCAGGTGCGTGCTCCTGACCGGGACCTGAACCGGCCACCCTTGGGCGCACGGGCCAACGCTCGAACCTCCGAGCACGCCAGCCAGGGCACGGCCTGACTTCTCTCTGGGGGATTCCCCCCTCTTCCCTTTCTCAGCCATGGAGCTGACCAGACCCCCGATCTAGGCCCTGAGCCCCTCAGGCCCACCACCTACCCTGCTCGCGCCTTCATGGGGCCAAGGAGAATGAATAATAAATGTGTGAGCGGGGGAGGCGGTGATGCCTCCCTCTGCATCTCCGCCCGGGGCTGTGTCCCCTGTGGGTGCTGAGCATCGACGGCTCTCAGTGCTGACTGCGTGCCAGCATCGCTCCCGAACCACGCGGCCCTACTGTCCGCCTGTCCGGGGGGCTCTCCAGGACCACTGGAGAGCTGGTGCCGGGCTCATCCACATTCCAGCTAATGAACACACACCGTCTCCCACGCCCCGTCTGACCAGGCTCCGAGGCCAGCTCAGACGCCACCTCCTCCCAAGAGCCTTCCGGGATCCCTCCCTGAACTCTGCTGGCGTTTTATCGGCTCCTCTCCCATCCCGCTGGTCACACCCCACCCGGACTATTACACAAACACGTCATATTTCTGTGTCTCCGTCTCCCACCAGACGACGAGCTTCCTGTCAGTCCCTGCTTGGCCCTGACAAGTCGCTAAGGTCCTAGGACACAGTTAAGTTTTGCTTGTTTTAACAAACATACAGGAGGTACACCTGTGGGTGTGAATGTAATAAAAGAAAACCTGTTACTTAGAAAGTTCCTGGTTCTCATTTTATGAAAATTTGATGCCTGTTTGGAAGGGAAAGAAAAAACAACTGCCCGGCCGGCTGGTGTGGCTGAGGCTGACCGCCTAGGACCCAGGAGGTCGGGGTTCGCTTCCCGGTCAGGGCACAGGCCCGGGTTGCGGGCTCCATCCCCAGGGCAGGGGCATATAGGAGGCAGCTGATCCACGGTTCTCTCTCATAACTGATGTTTCTCTCTCTCTCTCTCTCTCTCTCTCCCTCTCTGACATCAATAAAAATATATTTTAAAAAATAAATGACGTAAAAAAATCTAATGAAAAAGTGCTGGCCCAACGCTTCTTGCTGTGAGCTGCAGTAGCAGGTGGGCGCCCTGCCCAGGGCCCCAGGTCTGCATTTCCTGTGTCGCCTCCACTCTGTCCCCGGGGGATCGCCTTACAGAGGAGGCTCTGGGGCTCCCCTGTGAGCGGAGGGAGGCCGCGTTCCCCTGTTGCCCAGCACCCTGCCCCGCCGCCCCATGGCCCTGTCGCTCCACACCCCCCATCCCG